CCTCTCTCCTGTTTCTCTCCAGCTTCTCAGAGATCTCTCAGCTTCGTCCCTGATCCGCTGTTGATGACTGGAAGACACGCACCCCTGGTATTACTGATCACACCACAGGCCTGTCTGTGGCGAGGAGTCCCTCAAGGATGACCAAGGCCATAATCTTGGGGTTCGACCATCTCGATCACACCAGTGAACCTGGTCTTTTTAATATTTTGTATTTCCCCGCACAAAGATTCTGTTCTGCCTGTCATGTTGTAACTCACAATATAGATTTGGCTGGTTTATTTTGTTAAACTATAGCTTAAAAAAATAACACTAGTAAATAAAAACAACTATTCTTTACTCCTAGGACAGTGATTGTTGGGCCTGTTACTGGTATTAAAATCTATAAAAATGTACATAGGGGCCTGGTGTCGGTGCATTAAAGCATCTGCAGCCTCCCTGCCCTACTTCGTTTCTGGTTGGTCCCCTCCTTTAAGACTTCGTTGCCTATTGGCTGCACTACCTCCCACTTCAGGTCTGATTGGCTCTTCCCTGTTCTACATCATGTGGATTTGAAATGGGGTCAATTGCGCATTACAGTTGAAATATTTCTCTATTTCCATGCTCATTTCAGGGAAAGTTTGGATCACACAAAATGATGTTTTCAAAAAGCAGACATTACATAGAAGGGGGGAAAGTCACAAAAGCATTAAGGCAAGTCTTGAGATCAGAGGGAGCATGATAGGAGAAGGGGTCACTATATTCGAAGGGATTTTCTATCATTTTTTCTTTCTTTATGTAATTATATATCTGATATAAGTCTTAAGAAAACTTTGTGGTGTGATGTGATGAAAATAAATCTGAATCTGAATTTAAGAAAATGATGACTTACATTAAAAATAGGTAAAAAGAAATAGAGAAATACGTGAAATTGTTTTCAAATCAGTGAAATTGAGAATGGATAGGGTTTTTAAAAAAATTGTTACATGCTGTAAATTTCAATTAACTTTCAAGTGTGTGTGTGTATGTGTGTTTATTATATATATAATCTATCTCTGGTGGTCTAATGGCAAGATGCCGTACTCTAATCCTAAAGGCACACGGTTCGAGGCTCCCAGCTGCTTCACAGAAGAAGAATATATATACACAAAACGGCTGGTTTCCAGAGGCAGTTAATTACACTGGAGGAGATTGGCCATCATCCTGCAGTGCAACTGGTGGCCTCAAACTACAATGGGCAATCTCTTCTCCAGACACACACACACAAACGGTTCTGTGAATATGTTTAAAATTTACAGCTGAAGACAATATTTATTAAAACGTTATTAAAGACACGTCATTTTTGTAGTGAAAGTACCGCTGTAGTTAGAAGCCCAGTGATGCACTTCTTACGGTGGAACTGGACATGTGGCAACCCAGCACCGAGAAGAAGTGTTTCAAGTTTTCATCGCTAAAATCATCTGTTTTGGGGATGTGTTTCTTTGGAAATAGAGCAAACTTCATCTTGGCATTGCACAGACAGGTTTCCAAGATAAGAAGAAAATGAAGCTGAAACATATTTTCCATCCTCAAATGTCAGAAGACTAGTAGTAAGTAGGAAAACAGCTTGAAAATAGAATTCTTAGCACATGCATCTGGATATATTCTGAAACAATTAGCTATGCTTGAGAAAATGAAGGGTCATTTTATAAATCATAAACCTTCCACACTGATAAAATATAAATAGGGATATACTCCCAAAGCTAACCACTTCTTTTGTTATGCATATAAACAATTTTGAGTTAAAGAGTTGAAGAAAAATACAACAAGAATATTGTACAAAGTGATTATTTGTTTAAACAGTCTGGACCTCCTAATGAGATACAGCAATCACTGTGCAGCTTGATTTACTCTTCATACATTTGCTTGAGGATGAAGGAGATTACAGTTGCCTTTTGACTATCACTCTTTTTCTTTTGCATTTGAATATAATATGATGCTAGATATAAGTTCCAAATTCTCACGTGACAATGACAGTATTAAATGATACAGTGTTGTGCTAAGTACCTTCTACCAGATACACACAGCAAGGAGTGGGGACACACGCTTCTTGCATGATGAACAAGTACAGAAACAGGAGTCTACATTGCAGAAAAGTTACAAAGCGTTAGCTTTACCACAGTAAGATGGCAATAAAACCAGTGCATATAAGAAGGAATATAAGGACATATAGCTGCAAACACAGGTAGACGCATCCACTGTCACCCAGTTAATACAGACTCAAGGCGCCCGGCACTGGGCTCCCAGGGTTTTAACAGATTCAAGGGACCCAGCACTGGGTTCCCCTGGATATAACAGACTCAAGGCACCTGGCACTGGGTTCCCCTGGTTATAACAGACTCAAGCCTAGCCTCCCAGCACTGGGCTCCCAGGGTTTTAATAGACTCAAGGCGCCCGGCACTGGGCTCCCAGGGTTTTAACAGACTCAAGGCGCCCAGCACTAGGTTCCCCTGGATATAACAGACTCAAGATACCTGGCATTGGGTTCCCACAGTTTTACACTGACCCTCTAATTCCTAGGGGCCCTGGTGATGTAGTGTATAATGTATAGGGCTGCAATGAAAGGTTGACAGTTCCACTGGCCCCTCCAAGGGCGGATGGATTTTTCATCTCTTTCAAATATTTACAGGCTTGGAAGCTGATGGAGGGTTGCCAACACTCAACTGGCAGTGGGCTCTACGTACAAAACAATAAAATATGCAGTAACAGTAACAGGAAGGTGGGGGACAGCTTTCATCATGGGGTTCACCAGGAGCATTAAACAGACTGTGGACTGCCAGGAGCACAAACAAGTCTCTCTCAGAAGTACAGTCGGCGTGCTCCTTAGAAGACAGCAGGTTGAGACGTCGTGCACTCTGAAGATGCTATGAATAGTGACCGGTCCCTGGTGATGGACAGCACACCGAGTAAAGTAGCCATCAGAAACGAGGAAGGACCTCCCCAACATGGACTGACACAGTGGCCGCAGCAGCGGTCTCAAGTACAGGCACAAGCACGAGGACACAGCTCGGTCAGGCAGCTCTTCTACAATCTGCAGGGTTCCTCTGAGTCAGATCTGATCGACACAACCAACAACCACCACAGTATATGCATTCACCAGGCCTCTGTGAGGATCAGTCGCTAATATTGTAGGGGTGAGGATCTGAGCTGCCAATGCAAAGGTCCGCGGTTCAGACCCCCCCAGCCACTCTGCAGGGTAAGGACGGGCAATCTCCTCTGGTGCGGACTTACTGCCTCTGAAAAGTGGGTCAGCTGTGCATCTGTTCTGACTCTACGGTCCATTACAACGAGCATTACAAATCACAAGCTTGAAACCCGCTACTAATTCTTTAGACTTCAAGGGGAATGACTATTCCTGAGATTTCCATGTCTTCATTAAATCTACCTCTAAGTATCTCCAAATTAATGGAATGTAAATATAATGAGAGAACTTAGGATTTCTTGTGTGAACTTTGACCAGATTGAGCACAGGGGCATCAGATCAGCCTCAGACAATGAGCTCAGTGCACATCCGATGCTTCTCTGCAGTGAAACCCAGCTTACTAGTGGGAAACACGATACACATTTATCTCTGCTTCACATACCACAAAGGTATGGAGGTAAAGAAATAGAAGAGTAAAACAAGCAAGCCACCAGAAGAAAATGAATCACAAATATTTTTCATAAAGCAGGAATGCAGTTACTAAGGTGTTCAGTGAAGCCCATTTAATTACACAATCTTAATAAGCCGGTCTTGATTACGAGAACCCAATTTCACTTTGCTGACAGTGACAAGGCCATCAAAGACCTTGAGGTGCCCTTTGACATGTCGTCTCCTCATATGCTTGGGAGTGGCCGTCTGCTCCATCGTTCATCAACATTCCTAAGATCCCTTACCCCAAGTTCCTAAGTCTGTATAATACTGGACACGTAAGTGGTTCCTGCTTATTGAAAGACAGCTGGAGACTCTCTGAGAGTTCCACAATTCTCTGAACGGTCTGTGTCTGCTTAAGCTGATTTTCAGTAACAATTCTGGCACACTGAGAAGACGACTGATTCCAGACAACGAATTTGTTTGTTGTCAGAGCTGCCACGCACTCGGCTTCTTGGTGTGAATTTTCCCCTTCCTCTGTTCACACAGAGGAGCTCCTGTTGCAAAATTTTCATGCAGTGTTCCACTAAATTACTAACATTTTCACATGGCTGTCAGGAATTAACTTCAAATGTTGACTTACGCCATCCTGTGAGAAGTATGAGACTTCAAAGTTAGTAACATAAAAGGAAATTAGATTCCCATCGCTTCACAAGGCACAGAAGGAAAGCCCTGCTTTGCCGTGTAGACAGAACACACACTGCATTCCAAGATCCGACCCCAAACTGGAAACCACTTCGTTCACATCAAATAGACACATAGGTAACCCTTAATCGCTTCCAAAGCTTACAAGACACTATCTAAAAACATTAGAATGGATTATATTATGCATTTTTAATCAATATTCATCATTAAGTAACTACACATGATCGAACTTTAATCTTTTCTCCCAGAAATAAGAGATATTAAAATTTTGAAGTCATTTACTCCAAATTGTAAAAATATTGCTAAAAAACTGACCTTAAATCAACAAGTGGGAACAGACAGTAAGAGTTCAGCTAGGAATATGTAAAAGCAGAATTACATCAAGAAAAAAAATCAAATCAAAACTTAACCAATGTATTCAAAAGACCATTAGAAAACCTCACAATTTAATTAGTGGAAGATTAAAGAACTGCTTCGGAACTCCCGAGCTGCATGATTAAGCCGGATGGACGAGGAGGGAGAGACAGAACTGCTCATTTCACTGATTCCCCAGGGAGCAGCAGGTCCAGGGTGGGAGTCGTGTTCCTGAGATTCCCACCATGGTGCTGGGTTTCTCCACAACAATAAATCCCAAGCGTGCACGACCCATTCCGCTCTGAGCCACTCCCTGTAGGAGCAGAGAGGAGGGCTTGCAGCGGGGAGGACTCACCATTCATGTTCTTGAAGATGTTCAGGATTGGGAGGATCTGGCGATAATAAGGCACCAGGGCTTCGCCCGCCATGTCCGTGGACATCACCAGGTGCTGGAGGACCTTCAACGTGACACAGATGACCTGTCGGTTCCGCAGATTCAGAGCATCTACGTGATGGGAAATGAAAGGAGAAAATAAAGGGCATTACGTTCTGCAGAGCAAAGGAGAGGTGGTCTCACAGGTACATTTCATTAATTCCGACTCCCCTGGGGATTGCCAATGGGCCTTTTGTATTCTAACTTGGAAGGACACGTTTGAGCTCTCATGAAAGGGGTCTCATTTGTGTTACCTGTTCTCCTATGTCGTACCGAGTCAGCGCCAGTCCTCAGAATGCACCCCCTTTAACCAGGAGGCGGCTGGCCTGACAGAGGAGGGATGGGTCGAAGCCTAGGAAGAAGACCAGCTGGTGGGTAGTTAGCAATGCTAAAACATAACGATGATAGACGTCTTGATGCCTTTAGGATCTGGTGCTGGAGAAGAGTGAATACCCTACGGATTCTCAAAAGAGTGAACTGAATGTCTTGGGGAAAAGTGCATCCAGGGTGCTCCTTGGAGGTAAAGATGGCAAAGCTCATCTTTCAGACTTTGGACACGTAGCTAAAAGAGGCTACTCCTTGGAAAGGGACCTCATGGTTGGAAAGAGAGAAGGCCAGGGAAGGCCAGGACCACCACCGAGATGGATCGACATAGCATTGACACAGGCGACTTCAACAACGGGCTGTCGTGTGTCAGAGATGATGAGGATGGTCCAGGCTAGGACAGGTTGGCTGTTCGTAGGGTCACTATGAGTCATACTTGACGGCACCTAACAACAGTATCATGAAGGCTGACAACAGAACTGTTCTTAGGGAACAATCTCTTCCAATGTGCCATCCATACTACCTTTAAAACCATCAGAATAAGATAAATGCTTTCTTTGGAATGGAGCTAGGAGTTGTATAAATGTTTAGAGACAATTTGCTGGTGGAAGTGAACAGGAAGTGACAATATTTAGATTCTGGGGAAGCAGGGAAGAGAAAGGCACATTTTTCCCCAAATATTCTGAACTTATGAAGGAATCAACAGTCATAAACTCTATGAGGCCAAAGGAGTCCAACATCATCACAGAAACACTTCTGAATGTAGAGTAACTAAATGTGGTCCAGAGGTAAGTAAGCAAACCATAATTTGCCCGGTACACGAGACCGTGCCAAGCAGTGTTTGCTCCAGGAGGAGACACAGAATAGGATGGGCTGTAGGACTCTGGCGGAGTCTGTCATGAGCTGGACTACTAACTCAAAGTCTATGTGCCTCCTGTGGTTCGAGTCCAGCAGCAGTTCTGTGCGGGAAAGATGCCATTAGGAAACCCAGTGGAGGTTGCCGCGAGTGGGAACGGGCTAGTGGGCGTGACATTTTGCTTTGCAGGACTTGGGGAGCAGACCCTCAGCGACAGACACCTGCCACAGGCACCTGTCTGCTTATTTTGCTTCTCTTTATTTCCTTTTCACTGTTTTTCACCTCACAAATAATGGGCATTTTCAAAGTAAAGGATTGTAGGTGTTTCATTTAAAATGGGCCTGTGAGTACCATTGTTCCAGCAGTGGGAGCTCACGTCACTGCTCTGCATTCTGTTTTAGTTCTTCTCACACAACTTCGATTCGTTTCATTATGCCATATGACACACTTAACAGGCCGCGGTAGAGTTTGAGCATAACTTTTCTACCCACTGGGAAATCAGAAAGTGTGTAGGGCTCGCGCCATGGTTAGCGGATCGATATTCACTCGGTTCCAGTGGTCTGGAACCAAATTCCCATTATTGTCAAGGTGTGCTGAAAAGTCATGTTTATGATTCAAATGGGAGAGCCAAGGAAGCATCAGTGCTGGGAGATCAAGGGGGGGTTGGGGAAATTGGTTTCTCTAGACCGCAAATTCCTGCCAGGCTCTTCTTCATGGAATGGGCTAGCCTGCCGTGAAGAAGGCTGGCCTAGACTTGACGTCGGCATCGTCTGTTCAGGATGAGAGAGCGACAATGGGCTCAGATACAGCTGCTCTTGGGCAGGTGGTGTGGGACTCCAACAGCATCGACCAGAGGATGCTGAACCCTCGTGTACCTGGCGAGGTGTCCTGGTCTTGCATTCCACCTCCCACTTCCAACAGCCTGGATCTTATCAGCTGCTCGGATTCAGTTAGCTCTACAAACTTTCCCTGCCCTCTCTGTTCCCCACATTTAGAGACGTGACAAGCAGGCACCCAGTCAGGTAGGTCATGCAGACTTTCACTCACCACATCTCTTGCTAGGAAGCCATCCGGGCGGCCAGCCTACAGCATCACTGGGTGAGTGTCCTGCCTCCCTCATCCTAGAGCTCCTCTGGTCCAGGAGGGGCTCCTCTACCAGAGCACACATCCTCCCTCTAACTGACCTCCCCAAGCAGGGCTGAGGGCTTACACCTGCTGAACAAAAGACTTCAAGGTCTCCCCCTCCTCCATGAACAAGGCACAAGCCAGCACAGGGAGGTACTGAGTATAAATTAGAGCTAAAAGAAATAGTGGGTTTAAAAACCCAAGACTACAAGGTACCATTTAGTGGCTATGAAACTCGTTCCTCAGGATCAAGAGGAGGTTCTTAAAAATAAACAGTGCTTGGTTTCATCTTCTCTGGGAACAAGAATGGGCTGTGGGCATGAGGATACTTTGGGAGAGCCCAGCCCCACCACTTCAGATGCAGCCCAGCCTTACTCTGATTTGCTTTTGGAGGTAAGTACAAATGGTGAAAATAGGGATGGGCTCCGCTCTAACACAGGGATGTAACTATCACACTTGATCATACAGCAATGCCTCATTTCAATGTTTGGACAACAGGCCATGGTATATCCTCTGAAAAACAACTCAAACTGCACACAAGGCTAGGGTTGTAGTAATGAAGGCTATAAACAAGCCTAGAGTTGAATGGGAAGACAGAGAGGGGAAAGGGCACATGGGGGGGGGCTGCCCTCATGCTGGTAGTGAGGATTTCTGGTCATATCAAATCTAAAACTATTGTGGTCTTTTCGGGGAGCTGGAGCTATAAAACTCAACTCAGTTTAACAAAACCGTATCTGTGAGCCTGCCAAAAAAAAAAAAAAAAAACCCAAGACAAAAAAAACAAAAAAATGTTGTGCGAGGATTCCGGACAGCTCATGTTCTTCCCAAAGGTGTTAAAGAAGATTGACAGGTTCAGGTCTCAGAGCTTCCTAGTTCCATGGGACGGCTAACACTGATGACACTCTGCTGCGCACTGTTATATGCCAGAAACGAAACACCAACAGTCTACATTTATGAGTTTACTTAATCTTCATCATCAAATATTTTTTGAGACCATGTTACGTGCTAATCAGTGCCATCAAACTCAAGCTTAAATTCATTGCCGTAGAATAAGAGCTAACGCGTAACTGATCCTCCAGTGAGTTTTCAAAGGCTGTAAACTGCACAGGAGATTATCTTCCATAGAGCAAGTGGTGGATTCCAAACACTAGAGAGGAGCTGCCTTAGGGCTAACAGTGCAGCTCCCTGTGGACTGTGCCACCAGAATGCCCTAGTAACGGCTGTAGGAAATGGTGCCTCAAAGGAAGCAAGACAAGTATGGCACCTAGCTTAACAGAGTCTATGATGTCCCACGGAAGAGGGACAAATGCTCTGCTGGGGTATGTATCACTAGGAAGGATGGAGTACATACACAGCGTAGAAATGGGGGCATCTAAGGGGACTTGAGCAATGGGATGTCATGTGGCAGAGATAAAGAGGATGGCACAGGACAGGGCAGGGCTCAGGGTAGTAGACCACAGGATCGCTGTAGAGTCGTACTCAACTCTATGGCACTTAGCAACAACCACCCAGTCTAGGGGTTGAAGAAGACTCCAGAAGCAAGCACAGAGTCAAGAGATGAAAGGATATTACTTGGGTGAAGAGTGTTGCAGGACAGGGAACAGTGTGGTCTGGTCACTCGCTGAGAAAAGGAGTCCTTTTTGACCCCCAAGTCTACTCCAGCTCCTGTAGATGAGGTGCTAAGTAGGGTTTTGGGACCAAAGAGGGTAAAGAGAGAGTCTCTTAACTGGTTCTATCATTATGTATGTGTTTTTCGTGGCATAGTTTGGATGTGGCAGAAACAATTGTGTCAGTGTGTCTGGGTGTACACCAATGGAGGGGGATTAGAGCTGATCTTCCCTTAACAACCAAACAGATTCAAAAGTTTAAGATCCTTTAACCTGAAAAAACGTCCAGCTCTTCTCTGTCCTTATCCATCTTTCTCATCTTAGAATGGATTCACAGTCACATCTCGCTAAGTATCTTCTAAGCTACTCAGCGAGGATGAATAAGATACTGGAAACATCTACATCACTGGTATCACTTTTAAGTGTTTGGTTTTTAAAAAAATCTAAGACTGTGGTGAGTTAATTTTGTTTGTAATTTCTTTGATTGTTATTGTTTTAATGATTACTATGTCTACAATTTTGGAGACATGAAGCTGAGTAGTGAGCTGTTACCACAAAATACATGAATGAGAAAAGACAATTCTCACTAATTTTCTGACTTATCATAACTTTCCTAGAAATAATCTAGGTTCTGTAAAGCCTCCCATGAGTGGAATTACTCCTAAAACTGATAAAATGAGTGCATTATCCTACTCTTTTCATTTCTATATTGAATTTTGTGATTTGTATGTTTTGATGCATCTAAGTAGTTATTAAACTATGCTGAAAAGTTTTTCTGTAATTCTTGACATTAAAAAAAAGATCTGATTTATAAGTAAAAAAATAAAAAAGAAGTCAGTCCAAAAGGACAAATATTGTATAAGACCATACATAACATGAAGAAAAGTTTACATACAAATCAAATCATTCTTGGATGGTTTTAAGGAAAGGAAAGGAAGGGAGAAGAACATAAAAATCGATAACAGACACTTATTAAAAATGAGTAAAGATAAAGGTACTATATAATAATGGGGTGATCAGGAGGCTGTGAGTATTGTATTTAATGTTATAAAAATGTGTATAAATGATTGGATGACAAATCAAAATTTTTTATAAAATTTGACTTACAACTCAATAAAATGAATAAGAGATATAAAATACAAAGTTGAATCAATGCACGT